CAATTCAGGAGCATTATCAGTTACTAATGTTTTTGGCACATTTCTAGCAAATATTTTGTGTAATATTTATTTTACAGTAATAGATTTTTTATCCTGGACTCAAAAAACTTCAGGTCAGTTGGAAAAAGTGTCAACCGGTATTAAACATAAACCTACCCTGTTAACTTGTGTGTGATCCATATGAACTCTAGACCATGGTTCTGTTTCCTTAGGTCAAGAGTGTAACTTATTGTGATGAAAATTCTTGATTTTGGCACATTTAGGATATTTGCTTATGTGGCTGGGACCAGCCACCACACTTCCAGTTTTAACCTTTTTTTGTGTAGCAGTTATTCCACAATGCACATCATCATGTACACTTTTAATTATTTCTTTTCTACATTTTTCCAGTGGTACAACTAAATCCTCACTACAAATTAGACCATTTTCTATTGATAGTTTGTGCCTGGTTTCTTTGTATGGTCTTTCTGCTTTTGAAAAATTACTCCATTTATTGTTCCTTATTCTAGATAAAATTTGACTTAAGACTGGATCTTGTAACATCTCCATTATTAGTCTATTCATGGGTAACACATCTGTTTCCACCCAATGCAAAAATTCAACTTTTATGTTTTTGTCACTTTGTTCCTTTTCCTTGGGACAATGTATCTGTATTGTATCATGTTTCTCGTCATGTATTCTATATCATAATCAAAAGCCATTAACTTTATTGTCCATCTTAATATTCTGGATGATGTAGCTTTCAGCACTTCCTTCCTAGTATGGAATATGAATTCTAAGGGCTTATAATTGAATCTCAGGAAAAAAATTTTTTCTAGTAAAAATTGTCTTGCTCTGGTCATACAATCACAAATGCTTCCTTTTCCATATTAGAGTAGTTCAATTCAGTTGGTGTCAATGTCCTGGAAAGATACATCACTGGGTGTCCTTCCTGGGACAAAATTGCCAATACAGTCTGGGCACTTGCATCTGTGGTTAATGTAACATCCTTTTTAGAGTAAAAAACCTTGACCACAAGTTTTTTAGATACAGCTTTGTTTAATTTAACAAAAGCTGTTTGGTAGGTACTAGTCTATTCAAACTCCTTATTTTTCTTTTGCAACTCAGAAAATGCTTCAATTCTCTAAGAATATTTTGACAAAAATTTAATATAAAAATTGGCTAATCTGAGAAATGATTCCAATTCTTTTTTATTAGTTGGAGAAGATACATTTAATATTTTTTGTATTAATGTCAGGTCTGGGGAAGTACCATTTTCTGAAATTTGGTAAACCAAGAATATTAAATATACACTTATCTTTGTTTATTGTCATTCTTGGCTTCCTTAGCTTATCCATTACAAATTCAATTTTTTGTTTTTAGTTATTCAATGGCCACACCTAAATATATGTTGCCCTGATAAATTATATTTTTTACTCTCCTTGCCAACAAATTTTCCATAGCTTTTTGAAAAATCGAGCTAGCTGTGTTAATTCCAAATAGTATGCAGGGCCATCTAAGTTAGCCTATGGGGGAGTTAATTGTTGTGATTTCCTTAAATTCATCATCTATTTGAATTTGGTAGTACGCATTTTTTAAATCAATTTTTGTAAAATGTCATTCTTGCCAGAGAATGTAGTATGTCTTCTATGTTTAGAATAGGGTAGGAATTTGAATAAATTTTATGATATACACCTACTCTGTAATCTCTGCAAATTCTAAAATAACTATCATGTTTTCTTAAAACCACAATAGCCAATGCCTATTTGCTGCCTGCAGGCTCTACATATTGAAGAATGCCTTCTTCCACCATTTTTTGCAGCTTATCAACTACGATTGGCTTTATATGAATGGGAAGCCTACAGCTTTCAAAATAAATGGATTGATATTTCTTTTTAACTTAAGGCTTGCTTTATAGATATTTAATGTCCCAGCACTAAGTAAACATGTGCTATTAATATTTATCAAATTGATTTCTAATAGTGATGGTTTCAAAACTATTTTTTATTTCAAAGTACCTTGAAAAGACCCTAATATTTTTAAACACATTTCATCAAACTGTCTTAATCTTACTAAGCTTTTCTTTAATTTTGGTTTCAATATTTGTTCCCAAAATTTAATTTAATTTAATATTTGTGAAGGTGTTCTTTTTGTTTCTCCTTTCTATTGAAAAAACGTTTGTTTGACTTTTTACATTGTGTATTATTTCGACAGTTTTTACATTGGTATCTTGCCATCTATATACAACTTGAAAGTGATTTTTCTTTTTGCACTTATTACATGTCTGTCCCCATACTTGACATTTCTCTCACTTTAATTCATATTTATAGTTACAATATCTTTATTTTGTCATTGTTCTTTTTATCACACGTGTCCATAAGCTCAGGTTGGTTTTCAATTGTATTAAATTTTTCAATTACCCCTTGTTGTATGAAGTCACTACAAGTTTCTAAAGTCATTTAGTTTGTCTTTAACTGCTCTAAAATTTTTACTATGAGAGGTGTTGTACAGTTCTTCTACCAATTGAAGTTTAATTAATTCTTCCTCTGTGTTTATTACTTGTTGTCCAAGTTCATGAAATTCACAATATCTGCTGGTATCTCTTAACCATAGATATTTCCTTATAGGCTCCCCAAATTCTTGTCTCAATGGTAAGAATTTGGTTTGTTTAGCTATGACCAGTCTTTTCTTTGGTTGAATATTTCTCAATATTATTTCTTTGTCTTCCTTAAATGTTAAGTTTTCAATTTTCAGCCTGATAAGTCATTAACGAAATATGCCTAATGGCTTTGCATCCTGCAAATAGATCCATGATTTCTTTATGTCCTTCAGGTGTTTCGTCATCTTGTAACTTCTTTATTCTGGCATGTACCTCAAAGCATTTTATCCAAATCTTTGCATTTTCAGGTTTTTCTGTGTTCAACAGAGCTCCATCAGGCAGCACCATTTTGTTATGATGATCAAACTTAGTAGCTGTAGATATTCTATGTACACGGACTCAAAGTTTCCCATGAACTATAGTTATAGCTCTCTTTATGCTAATTACCTAGTAGCTAAACCAATCCCATTACACTAAACTTGTAACATTCCATCATCACCAAGTGGTCCCTGAATTTCTCTCACAATGAATGGGTATTCTCTCAAGGAGACCCCCTTGCCTTGAATGCCTATTGGTACTTTTCACTCCACTAAGTGGAACTTGTATATATGATCCTTTGTTAAAGCTGCTAGATAAATGATTGATTCCCTGTACCTTTAAGTACCTGACTCCTGCTATGCTCTACCTTTACAATCAGGCTGAAAATGGATTATTGCTGCCATATCTAGGCTGGAGTTGTCTAGTCTTCACTTTCCAGTCTTCATAGTTCAAAAGTTTCTATGCAGCTTTGAGGGTGCTGAATTGTCTTCCACCTGACATCTCCTTTCCCACTAATGAAACATTGCAAACTTCTCACTATTCTGTTGCTATTTCCATAGAAAATATTGAGACATGCTAGATTCTTTAGTTCCTCAAACTCTAACCCTCCCAGTTAAGACTCACCACACTATGTAAGGAGTAAGTTCCATTTGGATAGCTTCTTCCTAAGAACTGTTGCTTTGTAGAACAGAATCTCAGGAGGATGTTTCCTGGTCACTAGAGTCTTAACCTCTTCAAGTTAGAGGTTCAGGGTTAATTGTTATCTTTCCCACATATACCCATAAACTGTACCTCTTACTGTTATTGCATGCACAACAAACTGCCTTCAGTAACCTCCTATCTTGAGTGGCTCTTTGCGGTGGTTCATATAGGAAGAAATTTATTAAAAAAAGAAAATGAGCGGTCACCTTTAATCTTCAATGCTTGAAACTGTTCACTTGTATTCTGAATATAGAAATATATTCCTCTATGGAATCAGTTAATCTGACAACATTGTGAATGAAGAGAGAAAATTCAGTCACACAGTACATGACAGGAAGATTTTTAGTTCAATTATCAATTATAGTTTGCCTTTATAATATCTTTGTGAGCAGCATAAAGTCTTTTTTTAAAAATAATGCTGGTGTTCACTTAAATAATGACATGGTTCATATATCATTATCCTTGTGATTCATTTATAAGAATTCTGTATTATGTGGATGTTCTAAGATTTTACACTTGGGCCTAATAAGTATTTTGAGAGGGGGAAGGTGTGGAAAATGTGGAGTACTATCCTGATTTTATTGAGACCAATGTTTTTGGTTGAGTGTATACTGTTTCCTGAAGAAGTATTTTTTGTACTATTTAAGACATATTTATATTTAATATTATTTTTATCTCTACTTCTTAAAATTATTATTCTTATTTTATTGCATTTGAATATATGAAATTTTTTCCAACTTTATTAATTCTTAATTTCATACTTTTCTATTTATTTTCTGTTATACAAAAATATTTTAACTTCTCAATGAATTTTTTTGATTTATGTTTGTTTACTGTAATAAAAAGTTAAAATTTGTAAATTTTTGTTCTATAAATTTATCTATTCTTCCTTTTAATTACAAGCAACAATCAAATATCATTCTTTGGATTTTGAATAATATGAATGGATTGAAATATTTAATTATCTCAAATAACTTTGATTTCATTGCAATATTGAAATTATATCGACTTTTTATAACCATTTGTTTTTGTTTTTTTTTTAACTTCTTGTTGGATAATAAAATTTAACATATATGTCTTGATTGATTAAGATAATAGATATAAAAATGTATAGTGGCAATTTTTTAACTACAAAAATAAGCATTTGTTTACAAATTATATACCAAAGTAGATAGGAGTTTAGTCTTGTTTTATGGCAGACATCAGGTATAATAAAAGAATGAAATATGCCATTGTAGAACATATATTCTATGTTACATAAGAAGCATAGACACCTAAATTTTAGAATATTTGAATTAACTCCTGTCTAGATACAGTAGCAAAATAATTATGAAGGTATTAATTTATTTCTTTTTGAAAATATTTAAATAAAATCTTTCAATGAATTTGTTTTGTTTTACAGAAAGACATCAAAGAGTACAGTGGCAAAAAACTCAGTCAAGTGGAGCCACATGTCTTTGCCATTGCAGAAGCTGCATTTCAACATTTGAAGAATAATGATGTCAACCAATCTTGTATCATTAGTGGTGAGAGTGGTGCTGGAAAGGTACTCAACTCTATACTATTTCCAATATTCTTATCAAGAGCAGTCTGGTTTTGTTTTTTATTCACTCACCTCCTCACAAACATTAATAATAATAATACTTGATAGACCTTCATTAAAAAGTTATTATCCTGACCAAATGACTAAACATCAGAATTTTTGGGGTAACCCCTGCTTGGGATGACATCATTTAGCACCCTTTCCAAACATTAGTGTTTCTCACTTAGTAAATACTCTCTCAGTGCATCTTTGTATGTATGTGTGTGTGTGTGTGTGTGTGTGTGTATGTATGTATATATATATATATATATATATATATAAAAACATAAAAGTGAACATTGAAGTCAACACAGGCTGTTTCATGCTAGATGCAATCGTCAGGCCATGAGTGTTGTTTTTTTTTTTTTCTCGGCTATTTATATATACAGGTCAGTGATGCATTGTGGGTAGTCTGTTTTGGCGTTTATTTTGCCGGAAGTCGTTTATTTGTTTATTCATATTATTTTGCTTGTTTTTATTCTTTATTTTTATTTCTTATATATTTATTTATTTATTTATTTTTATTTTAATTGGTGTTTTATTAACGTAGTAAAGATTTGTTTATATCGCTTATTTAATAGTTTTGTTTTGGTTTGGGAAGATAATTAAAGCTGTTTATTCAATTTTGGGGTTGATTGCTGTAGTTTATTCTAACTATTATTTTGGCTGGAGCAGTTTTTAATTTGTTTATTTATTTGGATTGATTATCTTGTTTTTTGTAATGATTAATTTATCAGGATTGGTTTGTTAGTTTATTTATTTATTTGGATTAAATTAGATTAATTTATTTTACTTGTTTTTATTATTTATTTATTATACTGTATATTTTTTATTATTAATTTAGTTTTACTTGTTTTTATTATTTATTTATTATATTATATATTTTTATTTACTCTTTTCAGTTTTCGATTTTTAAGTAACGTAGTATTTTTTTTATCGTTATATAACAGTTATAGCTATTTTTTTCCGATTTTTGGTTTGATTTTTATAGTCTAACTAATATTTTGGTCATAATGGTTTGTTATTTACTTTATTTGGGTTCATTGATTTTGTTTATTTTTTTTATTTATTTATTCTATTTCATCTATTCTAACAGGTGTAACTTGGCAATTTGTTTTGGGTTAATTTATTTTACTTATTTTATTGTCATTTTATTTATTTATTTTTTTGTAGTTTTTGATTTTTAAATAACGTTTTCATGTCTGCATTTTGAGATGAGCTCTGATTGTTTATTTAATAATTTATTTTGGTCTGGGAAGGTAATGATAGCTATTTTTTTATTTTTTCCTCCAAGTAAAGTTTGCAAGTTTTGGATTGGTTGTTGTAGGCTGATGATCTTTTCCTTATTTTCCAAGATATTTTTGGTGTAATGTGCATTTTGTTTTTAATTTCCCAGATATATTTAGAAAGCATTGTGTTTGCATATTTACTATTTGTGAAAGATGTTTTGTGTGCATAATTTCTTTGTTTCCAGGGTCCTTCAGTTACTCCTATGTATATTTTTTCTTCATTATCTGGTGATTTTACCGTGGCTTGGTATATTACGTTGTTTTTTGTGTGTGTGTATATATATATATATATATATATATATATATATATATATATATATATTATATTTATTATGCTGTTTGAAAGGTAAAGTCATATTTCAAAATTGCATCAGACTACCAATTTATTGAGTTTACTATGTTAAAAAAAAAAAAAGAAAGATTTCTCATTTCAATATTTTTTTAGTTTGTACATCCTTTTCAGTCTGTAGCAACAACATTTAATCCCTGGCAGGGTGTTATTATGCTATTGTATGATTTATTAATTTTATTGACATATCAATGCAACAGGTGATAAAGAAATCTTGAAATGAATGCTGGATTTTAGTATAAAATTATTGTACTATAAAAAATATTAGCATAAGTTTATAATATTCTTGCTGAGTCATCTGAGTATTTTCCCTCACATTTTATGATTTTAAACCATCTTTCAGATAAATTGTGCATTCAGTTGTAAAAGAATTATTCTGATTTTGAAAGGGAAAACAAGAGATAACCAACTAATATTCCTTTCTCAGAGTTCATGTGGAAACCATTTTTTTCAATTTTGTTTATGTTTCTTAAAGCTTGTGAATGAGAAACTACAGTTGAGAGATTGTACAAGTAATAAATATCTGAATGAATTTTAAAAAAAAATACTTCTAAGATTTCCCAAACATTGTGCAAAAGATGGCACTGGGAATGTTTGTGTATTATACATACTTTGATTGTTAATACTCTTATAAACATGTGAATATATAATATTTCATTTTGTGTATGTCTCAGTAGTGATTATAAGTATTCAATTCCATTCTATTACAAAATTATCAAATATAATTTTTATTTGTAGAGAGTAATAATAGCTAAAAAAATGTGGAAGCTTGTTTGTTGTGCAAAAAATACAACAGTAATATGTTTTATTTACAAAAAATTTTGGAAAACCAAATATATTAGCCAATACTTATTTTTTTTTTTATCATGAGTTTATACATGGAACTAACTATTCAGAAGAGTAAAATAAAATACACAGGATTGATTTACCTGAAATTAACAGTTTCATATTTTGATGTGAAATTTAAGGATATAAAGAGAACATAAAGCTGCAAAGAAAAAGAAGAGAAAAACAAAAGTAAAGGCAGGCAGGCAGAAAAAAAGGATGTGAATTAAATGTCAATAATCGAAAAACTTTTGTTTGTATTTACTGTTTGGAGATGATTTCATAACACCTAAGCAACATTTAGCCAACTGATCAAATTTTCATTTTTTTTTATGGGATGAATATGCTTCTTTAGATTTGCTAAAACTTTTGAATTGGATTAAAATCAGAGTATTGTCTAGGCTATTGGATCAACTCCAATAGCCTAGCAACTCCAACTCCTTTTAAATCATTTTAATGTTGCTTTTACAGTATGTATCTTTTCCTTTTTTTTTTTTTTTTTTTATAAAAGGAGACAACCATCACTTATCATTACTTGTTAAAGAGAATAAGTAATCCTTCAGGATAAGCCAATACATCATTCCAGTTAAGTTTGCTTCTTTCAAATGAAGTAATCCTGTGCTTTTCTACTAAACTGATATTTTTATCTCTGTACTTAACTATTGTTACAGTGTTTCTTGAATTATAAGTGCAGCTGTATTTTATCCCTATGATGAATTGAGTTATAACCAAAATGTTTAAGTTTAGTTTCATCTGATAAAGTTTTTTTTTTTAATCAGAAATTACTGTTACTAGTATATAAACTTCTAGACTTGTGTGGATGTGCAGGTAGTATAATGGTTATTAGCATGGAAAGTGAAATCAATGAGCTGAGTTCTGATTCAGTTTTATTCACTTCATCCATTTTCCTTCACCTATGCAGGAAGACTTCGCTCCCTTGCTTTGGACAGCAACCAATCTAGAAGAAGGAAAACTGGTGTTAGAACCTGAGGAGGGCTGTTTGTAGTTAAGTGGTGCCAAACCTGGTCAATACTTAGATGGAAAACTAGTTGGGAACATTGAGTACTGTAAGCAATCTCCTACAATCTGAAATGTATTAGCTTCAAATAACCCACAATGGGTTGATAAGCCATAAAAAAATAAATCAATCTCTGTTATCATGTCTTCCAAAAAGTATAGCTGTTTCTACACAAGCCTTTACCTCTATAATCAAATCATTTGTGTGAGTTCAATTCTAAACTGAATCGTTGGGCCCTTACATATCAAAAATGATAGGATAGTCCATTTCCAGAACTGTTAATTTTCTTATAATTGTTTATGTATAATTTGTAATAGTCTCTGAATACGTTTTACTACTGGTTTCCTATTTCATATAAAAACTTTTATTAACCTCGTATATTTATAGCATCAAATTGTCAGATACCATCCATATATTATTCTTTTTTATTTGATTTTTAGACAGAGACAACTAAATTTATTTTACAATACCTGTGTTCTGTTACCAATCACACATCCTTCTGGGTAGAACAGCAAATTCTAGAAGCAAATACAATCTTGGAAGCCTTTGGTAAGTTTTTTTTTTTTATTTATTTTGGAATTATTGAAATTATCGCAATAAGGATGGAGAAAATGTTACTAGAAATCCTATTTAAGAAACTTATTCCTTTCTATCTTGAAAGTAGTTTCTTTGTTATATTAGAATAGCAATAGCTGGCTTTAGAGCCTTTCTAAATTGGCAGTCCGTTTTATTAACCGGTGAACCAAAACTACAAACTCTCAGCTAAACAGATGGTACTTTAACTGTTTTTCGACAATTGTTTAATCTGAATAGTGAATGTAGAGTAATTATAATTTCCATTGTGATTTTTTGCTATTGTAATGTTAATGCATTCTATTTATCTCAAATAAAAATTATTTCCATAGAAATATTGTAATTTCTTATATATCACAAATTTAACACTGCAAAGTTTAGGTAGACATACATTATATAATGGAAAATGAGGTGCTTTTTATTCTTATATTACAAGAATATAAGAATTTTTCTTTAAAGATCATTTTATGAAATAAAGACTTTCCAAAGTTTATTCACCTTTTCTGATTATTTTCCATTAAAAAAATTTATTCAACTTTAAATAATGGAATCGATACCTTTGTTGAAAGATTATTTGACCGATGGTTGGAACTCGATACTTTTGGACCCTGACTCTAGTGACAAATGGCAACATTGGAGGGATATGTTCGAGGGTTTATTTCGAGCTGCAGTCTTCTTTCAACGTTAAACAATGGCATTGACTGGCTCAACAGAAATTAACCCTCTCTAGTGACAAATACACCATGTTTCTATCCCATTTATAAGTGTTTGACTGAGTGTCAAAATTACGATACTGCTATAAGCACTCTGGATGGTATGTTCATTAAGAAGAAAAACTCCATTTTTGCATTAAGATACTTACTTTTGCTACTTGGCGTCAAGAGACTGAAGAAAGTCTAGAGCTGTATCTTCAATACCTGAAAATATTAAGTCGCGACTGTGATTTTACTGCCCTGACAGCAAGCCAAATAAGGGATATCTTAATAAGAGATGCCTTCATCAGTGGAGTACGGTCTAACCAAATCAGACAATGGATGCTCGAAAACAAGGACTTGGATCTGGCTACCACCTACGAACTAGCCCTTACGTTGGACATGGCCCAGAAACAATCAGATCTTTATTCGCAACCTGATTTTTCAGGGGCTACTATTCCTGCCCATTCTCATTCTCAACAAATTCCCAGCTCAAATTCACAACATTGTGACCCCCAGGATAAGGATTCTTCAAATACTATTGAACAACCTGTTACTATCGCTTCAGCTGAGATTAAGTGCTACTTCTGCGGCTTTCGTAAACACGCTCGTTCATCCTGCCCGGCTCGAAACAGTAGATGTCATGGATGTGGCAAGCAGGGACATTTTTTAAAGGTTTGTCGGTCGGGCCCCTTTACAGAAAACCCGTTTAGCCGCCACCCTATCTCTATCTACCGTATCGACTGCCTCTCCCAAATGCCTCTCTAAAACAATTGTGCCGGCCAGAGTGAACGGACTAAATCTCCATGCTCTTATTGATACGGGGAGTTCTGAAAATTTTATCGATGCACATATCGTGGAAACAAACAAATGGAAAATTTTTCCCTGTTCTAATCAAATATCGAAGGCCACTTCGTCCTTATCCTGTCGTGTAATCAGATTCTGCACGGTTAACCTTGAGCTAAAAGAAAATTTCTATTCTAAAATCAAGTTGCTGGTAATGAGGAACCTCTGCTGTGAAGTAGTTCTAGGGCACAATTTCCTTAACCGACATTCTCACCTTACAATTCCGTTCGGTGGTACCAAACCAGAGCTGCAAATATGTGGATTAGCAACTGCAAAAGTCCAATATCCATCTCTCTTCTCAAATCTAACCTCTGACTGTAAATCTATAGCTGTAAAATCCAGACGCTATTCGCTCAAAGACAAGGAATTTATTGCAATGGAAGTGAAGAGACTTCTTAAGGAAAATATTATAGAGCCCAGCAAATCGCCTTGGAGAGCCCAGGTCCTAATAACGACTAATGAGAACCATAAAAAGAGGATGGTTGTTGATTATTCCCAGACCATCAACAGATATACGCAACTCGATGCGTATCCGCTACCCCGTATTGACGAAATGGTTTCCGATATCACTAAGTATCGTATTTTCAGTACGTTGGACCTTAGGAGTGCCTACCATCAGATACCCATCAAGCCGGAGGAAAAACCTTATACGGCATTCGAAGCTTGTGGGCGTTTATACCAATTCCGTAGGATCCCTTTTGGGGTTACAAATGGGGTTGTAAGTTTTCAAAGGGTAATAGATGAAATCATTTCTAAGGAGAAATTGAAGGGTACTGTGGCATACATAGACAATGTCACTATTTGCAGTTATAACGAGGAAGATCATGACCACAACCTCAAATGATTCATGGCCGCCGTAAATAAATATGACCTGACCCTTAATGAGGAAAAGTGTTCACATAATTTGAAAAGCATCAAGCTACTAGGGTACATAGTCAGGAATGGTGCCATGAGACCGGACCCCGAGCGACTTAAACCCCTAATGGAATTACCAATTCCTGGAAATATAGCTGCATTACGACGAGCCCTTGGCATGTTTGCCCATTATTCCCAATGGGTTGAGTCCTTTTCTGAAAAAATACATTTACTTACTCAAGTAAGAACTTTTCCATTATCTGATTCAGCCATTAGAGCATTTCAAAATTTAAAAAGGGATATTGCTAATTCTGCCATTGCTGCCATTAATCCTTCAGCTCCACTAGTAGTTGAAACTGATGCATCTGATTCGGCAATAGCTGCCTCCTTAAGACAACATGGTCGGCCTGTAGCTTTTTTCTCTAGGACACTCTCGAAGTCTGAACGAAGGCATACTGCCATAGAAAAAGAAGCGTACTCCATAGTTGAAGCTTTACGAAAATGGAGGCATTATCTGATCAGTAGACAATTCCACCTTATCACCGACCAAAAATCGGTATCATTCATGTTTAACCCGAAAACCTCAAGTAAAATAAAAAATGAGAAAATTGCAAGATGGCGGATGGAACTCTCCTGTTATTCATTTGACGTCTCCTATCATCCTGGAAAGGAGAATGCTGCAGTTGACGTACTTTCAAGGGTGTGCAGTCTAACAACAAGCTCATCTGATCTTCAGAGCATACACCGAGAATTGTGCCACTCGGGCATCACAAGAATGACACATGTAGTCTGGAGCAGGAATTTACCATATTCAGTTGAAGATGTTAAAAGAGTTACCAACTCTTGCCAAATATCTGCAGAAAATAAGCCAAGATTCTATAAGCCCCCTCAAGCAACACTCGTAAAGGCCACTCAGCCTTTCGAAAGGCTTAATCTGGATTTCAAGGGTCCACTACCTTCTAAAACTCCAAATAAATACATGCTTACTGTAATTGACGAGTACTCAAAGTTCCCCTTCGTTATTCCATGCCCTGATGTAATGGCCACTACAGTTGTTCAAGGCCTCTGCTGCCTTTTCGCAATTTTCGGAGTGCCTGCATACATTCATACAGACCGGGGATCTGCTTTTATGTCGGAAGACCTCAAGAATTTTTTGCATGAATGAAGAGTGGCGGTAAGCCAAACCTCCCCTTACAACCCTCAAGGGAACGGGCTCTGTGAAAGATATAATGGAATAATATGGAAGACAGTTCAGTTGGTGTTGGCAAACTGGAAAATGCCGATCTCAAAATGGGAAAGTGTCATCCCTGAGGCTCTAAACGCTATCAGGACCCTACTGTGTACATCTACAAATACCACTCCACATGAGAGGTTTTTTTTGTTCCAAAGACGAAGCTCAACAGGCACTTCCCTCCCCTCATGGCTTGCTCAACCTGGAATCGTTTGCTGAAACACCATGTTCGTCATAGTAAACATGATCCCTTAGTCAGCAAAGTGAAACTAATTGAGGCGAACCCCCAATACGCCCAGATTGAAACTGCGGAGGGAAGACAATCAACAGTCTCCTTAAGAGATCTGGCTGGAAATACACCTGAAGAGGCTACTGTGATGGAGAATCGCGAAAATCCAGTTTTCAAAACCAGCCCAGTGCAGCTAGGCGACCAAATCCCGCGTACATCTAGTTCAGATACATCTAGTTTTCTGATGATACTTTTCTGAAGAAAGACCGACACCCCAAAAAACGGACTCACCCTACATCGAATGAATAAACATAAGAAAAACGATTTTTTCTTATGAACCTTCACGATAACTCATTGTCTTGATTCTGAATATCTCGAAAGACCGACACCCCAAAAAATGACTCACCCTACAAATCGGAGACTGAGATTTAAAGTTTTTTTTTGTCAGACACCCAGCAACCTTTCTCGAGCCTGTTAACATAAAAAAAAATAAAAGGGTCACATGGTGCAACGGTTCAAACAGGTGGCTAGACCCTCTCACGCAGAAATGGGAGCATCAATCACGATAACTACAACTCCAGATCCGTCTGACGTAGACGGCCACCAAACCCTCACCCTGAACAATTAAGATGTTCCCAAAGGACCCACCAGTCACCTGAACAATTAAAATGCCAGGTCGTCGGAAAGACTTTATTCTGTATGAATAACTAGCTGGTGGGGAGAATGTTGTAAGTAATTCCCACAACCTGCCCCCTTGTTTGGTGTAATGGACTCTCCATAAGCTTGTTTACTGTAATGGACGAATAAAGCTCCAAAGTTTATTATTCGCCTCAGATTATTCATTATAAATAAATATTCATAGATATAGATTTTGTCAAATTAGCAATAATAATCTCTCATGAATGATGTTAATATATACGGAATCAATAAATAAAATAATCATAATGTGTAGTATCCTAAAATTAATGTTGGGAACAAATTTTAATGAACTTCTCATTCATTTTGGGACAATAGATAAAATATAAGCAGTTATAATAAGAATAACTTGCTTTATATAACTAATCAGAAATGATTGATTCTTTTTGATGGTATCAAAGGCAGAAAGCATTTCAATGCCTTCTAA